TGCTCCAGACTCCCTTTTTTCTTCCTTGTCCTCTGTCTAAGTGATTTTTTTTTAGTAGCACCAGCATTGGGAGGCTTGTGAAGCAGGGCTGGAGAAGTGCAGACTGCATCAGATTGTAGTAGTGTGTTTGCAGTAAGCAATGCAATAAAAGTTTGAGCTGGGTAATAATGAGATCTAGCTGATCCCAGTGTAACTGTGTGTGCCTGCCTACAACTGGCAAGGTAAACAGGAGCTTTCTCCAGAATCCTTATGAACCATTTTTAATACCAAAGCAGAGAGAAAAGGGAAAGCAGATAAACCTGCCTTACCAGCTATTGTCAGCATGTCGAAGAAGCATAGATCTATAAGTCTGGCCACAAAAATCAAAATCATAATGAGAACTGGAGGTTAATGAAAGAAAGAAAAAAAATGCTGATGCATTTTGGAAGTTTCCAAGTGGTCTCTCAAAGATTCAGAATGTTTTTCTTTGTTTATATGAGGCTAACCTGACCCGATAGTTGCATTTCACATGTGCATATTGTTGGTTCGGATGAAAGGTTTGCAGAGAAACGTTGAGCTGCTGTCCTCCTCCTTGTTCTTTCTTCTTTCGGTGGTTTAAGAACTACGTTTATTTCTGCCTCTGGTACCAAATTTTCTGTTAAACAAGTAATGGTTAGGAACACATCTACTTCATTAACTGAGGCATACCTGTGCAATTATAATAGTACAAATGAGAACACTACAATTTAAAGCAACAGAAGACCACACAAGAAGAGCACATGGATGGTGGCTATTTTCCATGTAGAGGTGGTGGGAGTAGTTTTGAAGTTATACTCCAAAAGTAATTTTTTGCAGCTATGATCAAGGGCGAATTACCTCAGTGCTTATCTGAGCCTAGTCGTATGTTTCTCTTTTAGCACATTTCCCTTATAGCGATTCATTTCTCCAGACTTTATACATTCAGGATATATTTAATTAACAGAGAGCGAGGCCTAATTTCACAAGGCCTCCGTCTTCTGTCTCTCCTTCCCCTCTCCCCCATCTTCTTTTCTTTTAAAAGTACACTGTAATAATTTCTAAAAAGATAATGAAAGCCTTGCCTGCTTCCTAAACTGGTTGATTTATGTGCTGTTTGCTGTTTTTGAGAACACAAAACAATTAATTTATGTGTGAAAAGAACAGTGAATTAATCCTACTGAGCCCTGGAGCCTTTAAAGACCTGCATCGTATGTTGAGCTCGTTTAAAACTTGCATAAGAAATTAATGTAGACTCAAGCCCTTTCATTTGAAAAGTGCAGCTATAGTAGCTGTCCCTGGGATATCTGCCGGATCATTATTCAGAAAGGTTAAGGGGACTTTTATTATTTTTTTAAAACCATATTCAGTATGTATTTTCCAGTAACAGCTCAACATGGTGCATTTCAACTTATAAAGAGAGAATTTTAAAGAGAGAGAGAGAAAAATAAAGAAAAAGAAAAAGGGAGAGCTTTTTTTTTTATCCACCTTCCACTTAATTTCCTTGCTGCCATGCCAGTCCAAGCTTAATGAATGTAATTGCTACCTTTGATGAAAATACTATTATCAAGATCACACATTACATTGGAAAACAGTTTTTTCTTTAAACACAGCTACTGAGGTCTCTAATTATGCATGTAACAAGTGGCTTCTGAACAAAAGACCATGTTGTCTACAATTGCTAGGAATTGGAGCAAGGCAAATTTGAACAAAGGACAGATTAGATGTGCTCCAAGCGCCACAAAGCCCATTCCCCTGATTAATTTCCTGCAAAAACTAAAACAATTCTCTCTTTAAAAAGGAACTAACCCTCAGCTCCAGAATGATCCATATGCCATTTGTGTCAATCTATAGGATGATAATGGCTGCAGATTTTAGCCCGGCTAATAGTTAATAATTTAGAAAAGGAAAGCTCTTTTATAAACTTCTCTTTTCATATGTAAATAAGTACTACAAGCTCTTTAGGAATAACGAACAATGGAAAACTGACTTCTCTTCAGAAATCAGGAGCCAAGGACCACATTTACTATTGGAAAATCTGTGTTTCTGTGCATGGAATCTCATTATTTTATCAATTTATCCCATGCACACGCATATGCACACAAAAGGCATTAGTATAGATAGAGTACTTTCTTCAATTTATTCATCTGGTCTCTCAAGAGCGACACATTTCAGTCCAGAGACATTGCTGTATTAATCTTTCGTGTACATTTCAAACCAGAAACTTTTTTAGTGTAACTTGTAGCCAGTTAAAAATGACATTTCTTTTGATCATAATTTTCAATGAGCTTGATGTGATAGAAAACAAAATCTACCACTGTATGTTAGCATTTGTTTTAATATATATTTATACACACACACACACACACACACACACACAAACACAGCAAGGCAAATAAACCACGTAATGTTGGAAAGCCTGTGCAACTAACTATAATATGTTAAAGTGCATTAATCAAGTTAACTTGGTCATTATGCTCTTTTGTGTTTTGAATGAGTTTTCTTGTCAGATATTTTGGACATTCTACTAGGAACAGTTACTAGTTGGAGTGGCCATCCCCAGCTTTGTGCCTTTGTGTTATCTGGCCAGAGATGATAGGAGTTGAAGTCCCCAACCTCTGGAAAGCACCACATTGGTCAAAGCTGAATTAGAGAGTCAATGTGATCTAATGGTGAGAGTGTTGGAGGTGCATTGGATCAGCTATGGGGTTTATTTGGAATTCCCCACCACCAGGCCAAGCTCACTCACAGCACTGTTGATGGTAGGGGAAGAGTAAATGGGATACATAGAGAATTGTGTAGTTGTGAGAGAGCCTGTACAGGTTATGTCTTCATTATCCAAAATTCTTGGGAACAGATGTGCTTTGGATTTTGGAGTATCTGGATTTCAGAGTATTTGCATATGCATTATGAGGCATTTTGGAGATAAGACCCAAAGCTAAACATAAACTTCATTTATGTTTCATATACATCTTATACACATAGCCTGAAGATAATTTTATATGTAATTTTTTAAAAAAAAATGTGCATGAAACAAAGTTTGTGTACACTGAGTCATCAAAAAGCAAATGTGTCACTGTCTCAGCCACCTTTGTGAACAATTTTGGATTTTGGAATATTTTGGATTTTTGAATTCCAGATTTGTATAGTACAATTGCCATGGCAACTTCCTATGGAATTCTGAAATTTACAGTTTAGTGCAGGGGTAGGCA